AATAAAAATATAGAAAACATATAAAAATAATAAATAAAAATTTGAAAAACATAAAATACAATGAATATAATTTAAAAAATGAATCAAATGTAAAAAGGAGATCCATTTGATGTTTTAGAAAAAAATTAAATTTTATTTTGAGGTTATATTAGTAAAACACAAGTTTATTCCACCTTGTTCCATATGATAGAGGTAGAACAGGTTTGTTCCATTTTGTTCCACTCTGATCATGTATATTCCATAAAAAATGTCTCCAAACATAAAACAATGATTCATGTTCAATTATGTCATGTCGAGTATACCAAACTCACCATGTGATAACATTTTAGAGGCTTTTGATGGTTTCTTTATCTAATGTTTCACAAAAACACTGACATTTTTGTAAATAAATGGAACTTCAATAATATGTATAGTGACCAAAGGAAACGGACCTTCACCTACCACATTTCACACATGTTTAGTCGGCTTCACATTCATTAATTCTTAAAGTTGCAGTTATGTAATACAAGTAGGTAAACAAATGTCGGTGCAGTTGAAGGTAGCAAAAGTCTTCATTGAAAAAAGGCTATTCTCTACAAAACACGCACAATTAGCTCCATCGCATCAGTAGCTCTAGCGTCTTCTAACCTTGTACTCAACCCAACATACAAAACCCATATAAACGGAATTTTGACTACTTGATGCACGACATTTTGGTTAAATTGTTTTTGTTCAATCCTAATGTCTATGGTATTGCATGTATACTTTAAAGACAAAAAAAAAAAAAAAAAAAAAAAAAAAAAAAAAAAAAAACCTTATAGCATCTTCCAAATACAAATAAGCCGTTTTCTGGCAACTCCGAGGACCCATCAAACGACTGCAACATACACACGAGCTTGATTTGAAACGAGACATAAGCTCAACTCATACTCAAGTTTGTGCAAAAAGTATTTGTAACCAGCAACCCTCAAACCAACTTACACAGCTCTATTGGAAAATCAGGTACACAGTGACTCGCTAAATAGTTGGCATTAAAGCTCAGTAACCACAAGAAGCTCAATCTTCAAATGAATTGTAACTCACACAATAAGGTTGAACCCTCATCTCTTTGTGTAAGTTCTAGACATATTGTTCTTCCATGAGCCTGATACAAGCTTCTTACGCTCAAAAACTCTTAATCTTGTTTCCTAGCCACGAAAGATTTCACCCCAACTGATTTACACAACATAAGAGTTAGAATCAGAGTCCAAAGATAAGATGAATGGAAGATCGTATTCTTGGTTGCTTCCTCTTCACTCCGACTTCTCAAATCAAGATCAAACCCAATCAAAGGCTAACGTATCCATGTCCAATATCAACTCTAGTGAATTTTACTCGAACCGTCTACCTATACGAAACCATGTAGGATTGTTAGTCTATCTTCAGGGACTGAAGTGTAAAATCTTGATAACCAGAAGGGTGCTTCTAGTAATTTATCAAAACTAAAAAACTAACCAAATTGGCGGGAAAATGTATAAAACACAATGAAATCGCCATTAACGGCCATTGAAGCTGCCAAATGCTAGGTATCAAAGTCCATGGAGATGGGGATAAATTCATTCTTCTGGTTTTCGGCAAGAAACGGGCAAAAAAAAAAAGAATAATTCATTCAAAAAAATTCAGAAAATCTTTGATGTTGACCAACAAATCTTCATCAAATTTGACCAAATCTTGATGATTTGCATCTGGATTTTTGTCATGGAAGATATTTTTGCCTCATACAAAAAAAAGAAGATATGAAGTAATCCCAGAAACATTAATCTCAGATCTCGAATTGCTCTTAGAAAGGGACAAAAGCTAGCATCTTTACCTGATTCCGGCGACATTTCCCTTGTATTTCCGGCTGGAAATTATGGAGCAATTCAGGCAGATCGGAGAAGTTGCCAGAAGTCTGAAGGCGTTGATGGTTTTCCGGGATGAAATCCAGATAAACCGCCGCCATTGTTGTTTACTGCTCGATATGCTCGGTCTTGCATACGAATCAGTAGCCAAAGAGATGAAGTGAAATCTGATATTCAAAGAGAAGCAAACAAAATGGAAGGTAATCGAGCAGCCACTAAAGGAGCTCCATAGGATCTTTAATGAAATCGAGATATATATCCGGCAATCATTAGAACCGAAAGACAGATGGGTACATGTGATTACGTTTTACCAGAACAAAGATTGTGTCGAGTTTCACATCCATAATCTTCTTTCATGCGTTCCTGTTGTCATCGAAGCGATTGAGATGGCCGGAGAATTATCCGGGTGGGACCCAGACGAGATGCAAAAGAGACGGTTAGTTTATGCGATGAAATATCGAAAAGATTGTCAAGATCCGAAGGTATTTCAGTGGAGATTCGAGAAAGAGTACCTGGTTTCGCAAGATTTATGCAAACAGATCGATTCCGTTTGGGAAGAAGATAGATGGGTTCTTCTTAGTCAGATGATTAAGAGAAAAAACTCAAGCACAAAGCTTGGTCAGCAACTTATTGATATAATTTCGACAAATTTCAGCGAATCTGGGCCGTTGGATCGAAAGCTAAAGCTGCTGCCGTGCTCGATTCTATTGAATTCAAAAGATTACCATACTAGACGGAGATTAGGGAGTGGTCGGGAATACAAGGAGATTCAATGGCGAGGTGCGAGCTTTCTTCTGCGGCAGTTCCATGGAGATATAGAAGAAATAAACCCCGAAATTTCTCGAGGATTCTCTCTTTCGCATCCTAACGTAATGCATTTCTTTTGTGGATTCATCGATGATGAAAAGAAAGTTTTTTCTCGTTATGGAACTCATGAACCGCGATCTTTTGAGCTATATCAAAGAGATTTACGCCAACCAAAAACGATTCCCATTTTCTCCTTCGGCAGCGGTTGATCTTATGATTCAAATCGCACGAGGAATGGAGTATCTCCATTCCGAAGGGATCTATCATGGTCAGTTAAACCCTTTGAACATTCTTGTAAAAACAAGAAATGCATCCACGGATGGATACTTACATGCAAAAGTTTCAGGATTTGGGGTATCATCTTCAATCAGTCTGATATCAATAACGCAAACAAATCAGAATGAAACACAGTCGTTCATCTGGTATGCTCCCGAGATATTAGCTGAACAAGAACAATTGGGAAACAACTGGAAATGCAAATTCACGGAGAAATCCGATGTCTAAAGTTTCGGGATGATTTGTTTTCAGCCTTTAACGGGAAAAGTACCTTTCGAGGACAACCATCTTCAAGGGGATAAAATGAGCCGAAACATTAGAGCAGGAGAGAGGCCGCTTTTCCCTTTCCATACCCCGAAATATCTCACAAACTTGACACGAAGATGTTGGCACGCTGATCCTAATCAAAGGCCAAGCTTTTCGTCAATATGCAGGATTCTTCGCTACATCAAGCGGTTTTTACTGTTGAACCCTGATCACAACAATCCGGATTCGCCAACACCAATAGTGGATTACTGTGAAACAGAAGCCGGGCTTCTCAAGAAATTCCCGTCTTGGGGTAATAATAATGTCTTTCCATTGTCACAGAACCCGTTCCAAATGTTTGCATATAGAGTGGCGGAAAAAGAAAGGTCAAATGCAAGTCAGAGAGAAATTTCGGAATCAGTAAGCGAAGAGGATGATAACTCAGTTGTGGATTACTCAATCTCTGAAAGGAATCCTTTTTTGCCCAAAGTTCCACCAAGGAAATCCATGTCAACAGAGATAGATGACAGAGTATCCCGGAGAAAGTCCGTCTTTCAACCTGAAATTTTAACCAAGATATCCATGTCAGCAAAGAGATCGAACGATCTAATAGTCAAGAAACAACCAGGTTCTTCTTCTTTCAAATGATATATGATCATAAACCATAAACATTTTGAGAACCGTGAGAACCAGTATATATAGAGTGACATTCAGAGGAAAACCCCCAAAAAATGAAAAACAGAGGAACACCCTAATAATTGTTCATCTTTACGGTATGCACATGTGCATACAAGGAATTGAAGATGTTTCATGGTCTTTACGCATGTGTCATGTTATGCACATGTGCATACCAAACAAATTACTAGTATGCACATGTGCAAACCGTACAGATGAATGGTAACCAGGGTGTTCCTCAATTCTTCATGTTTTTGCGGTTTTCTACTGAACCTGAACCTATGAAGTTCAGCGATTATATACATCAATTCATATATACCTCCATACATAGTAGATATGAATTGATGAATATACTCATTGACAAAATACATATTTTGACAAAGTAGATGCATCAATGCATACATTGGTTCTCGTGGTTCTCAAAATATTTATGGTTCTCGTTTGAACCTCCCCGATAAGTATATATATTTGTAGAATTCTTACTATTAAATTGATTCCAAAGGGACTCCAAGAGGACGATCTAAACCCCCACCATTGTATTCTCCAGGGAAAAAGGATGAATTATGAAACCCAACCGTCTAATCCTGCAAACTGAAGAACATCGAAAGGACACTTGTCAGATTCCGAGCTTACCTGGACTTCAATAAAATCCAACAAAATGTACATCAAATTCTGGGATTATGAAACTTCAATAGAGCAAAATGATTTATGGAACAAGAGTTGTATAAAGTGAAGAAATTGAAAGGCATTTGTTCTAACCTGTTTGGTTTGTTTTTCATCAATTCCTGTATGGATAAAGGTGTTTGTGTGGAATAATCTGTCTGTACAGATTGAGAAGGTTTTTGTTTGGCAGGGTTTTTTCATAGATGGAAGGAGCGTTTTTTTTAATTGGGAAGGGCAGGTTTGGAGAAAAAAGCTTTATCCATAAAGCTCTCCTTAGAAGCTTACTGAATAAGCCACTTTCTATATCATTAAGCCACTACCAAACAAATGTATAGATGACCGAATAAGTTGCAAGTGCCACTAAGCTAATTAAACTGCTAGGCCCTAAAACTGCATAGGTTATCCTAGAGCATTTTCACGTTGAGTTGTTTGGGCATGTGTCATCAGAATTGCATGATCCTTTTTCACACTTTACAATAAAATGTTCCTTTTACCAATGAAAAAATGCATACAAAATAGTAAGAATTTTCAGAAATTAAAAGAATGATTATTTATGATTTCAAAAGGGTAGAACGATATGGTAGATGATAATAACATCCATTACAAATAGCACTTCTTTGCAAAATTAAGATAGAGAATTAAGGAAATACAGTGGCCAAGTTAGCAATGAAGTGTTTGACTTTAATATCATCGGGGTGTTCTTCAAGAATTTAGAATAGCTCAACTATCACAAATCACCAAGAAACCTGAAGAACTTGCAAAGTAACCATAACTATATAGCATTCTACAATGAATGATATGATAGATGACTATTTGTCAATTATCTAAAATATCCTTCGACAAAGACAAAGACAAACAAGAAAGTCTTGTGGAACCAAACCAGTATCATCAATTTATTTGTAATAATGGGAATGAGTAAATAGGTAAGTTAATTAACATGCATTTTTTCCAGAAAAGGAAAATTTTCAAGGGCATCCCCGGAATGTTGCAACTTTCATGGGATGGTGGGAGTATTTTCCTGTTTTCGTCTAATCTCCCTTTGAGCATGTAATAAAGTGTCTAAAATGTAGCATCATAGTTCAATGGTCAGATACTAGCATTAACGATAAAGCTAAACATTTGATTCTTAAATTTCAACATGACAAGTTCACAAAACTAATCTTAAATTTCATTGATGGGCAAACTAAGAGGATATTCAACTAAAGCCTTAGGGGCTGTTTGGTTGATCTTCCATTAAGTCCTATATGAATAAAGTTGTCTGTGTGGATTAATCTGCCTATATAGATTGAGAAGGTTTTTGTTTGGTTGGGGGGGGGTTATAGATGGAATGAGCGTGCTTTTTCATTGGGAGGGGCAGGTTGGGAAAAGACTTGGCTTTTTGCATAAAGCTCCCCTCTAAAAGGAATAAGCCACTTTCTATATCATTAAGACACTACCAAACACTCATATATAGCTGACCCAATAAGTTGCGAGTCCCATTAAACTCATTAAGCTGCTAACAAACAAGCCCTTAGTAAGCTGTGAGAATAGTGCAAAATGAAAACTAGAAGAAGACGCTCACAAACAAATAAGAATAAAGAGTGAACTTAAACGTCGAAGGCTGCATACCTCAAACTAGAAGCCCAACTGATTGCTTTACCAGGGAAAGAAGAGCCATTTTGCTCAAAGGTCGAAGCCCTCATACCTCAATTACACAGCTAAAGCATCCCACCATGATTTTACTCATGTGGTAAGAGCCCTCTCCCAATTCCTAGGAGGAAAGTATAACCAACAGATAGGGTGTTGCTTGTAATATTGTGAAAGATTTTCTGGCTATCATTTAGTCTTGGAGCATTCACGCCCATATTTTCGTACACAAATTAGTTATTTGAAAAATGTCATTGCCTGTTGGAACTTCTTTATGGGTCATTTCTGCATTAGTTGCTTATAACAACGACTGAAGGTACTTCCTTTGGGATGCTCTGATTATAGTATTAGTGCTCATAGTTGCTCTTCACAACATTTTAAGCACTTTTATACTTCCACCTGAATTGGCAGCAACGATCATATTTGTTTTCTCCCTCCAGCAAACACTGGAAACAAAGTGTGGTGCATTGCCATCACCATTCTCATCACCAGCTATGGGATCAATAGATCCAAACTTGTAGGAAATAATAGGCATTGAGAAACTTCTATGATAAGCATAAACCTGAAAAGAAAAGAAACCATTAAGCACTGGCTGAGTTTCAAAATGAACTTCAATCACAAGCGACTCACATACTCGTGAATCGTGATCTCTCCAAATAAATTAGATTATGGATAGTAAGGTTGTCACCATGCTTTTGAAAACAAGAAAATGTTCCATTATGAGAAGTAGGCACAGAAGTCCTCCGAGTTCCAGTGAGACCAAGTAAGGAACATCCCAGTCAATCCTCAATTCTGTAAAGGTGCGTTTGGTACACTGGACAGGACAGATTAGGGATTAATGTTCCATGTTTGGCAAGACCTTTCTGTGGAACAGAGTGGAACAGGCTTGTTCCATCCCCACCCCGTAAAACAAGGTGGAACAGACCACTATTTTACCAATATAACCTCAAAATAAAACTTAATTCTCTTTTAAAACATCATAAACGCCTCACTGTTTACATTTTATTCATTCTTTAAATTTTATTATTGTATTTTATGCTCTTTAAGCTTTCTTTTTACTGTCCTCAAAATATTATTTTTATGTGGTTTCTATATTTTGATTAATTTATGTAATTTATTAAATGTTATAATTATATATATATATATATATATATATATATATATATATTAGAAAGGTATAAAATAAAAGCTGAAAACTACATAAACTTTTCATTTTTGTGTCATTTTAATCGTGTTGACGAAAAATTTCTAATGATATATTTTGCTATAGAAAATATTTATTTTATTATAATTTAATAAATTACATAAATTAATCAAATTATAAAATATACAAACAATTTATCAGGGGTAAATTAGTCATTTTATCTGTTCTGTCCTATACAGTTTTGTCTTACCAAATGTTGAACAACTGTTTTGTTCTGTCTTGTCCTGTCCTGTCTGGATACCAAACGCACCCTAAAAGACATGATAGGCAAAATAATATGATGTAATCAAATTGGAATGGTTTCGGTAGCAATAATACCTCATTGGATTCAGAACCACACGCTATATATCCGTCCAGAACAGATAAACCAACAAAGTTCTAGGGAGAAAAGGGAAGGATCAGATCTAAAAGATGCTCATTAGATAATTTATTAAAACCCGTTAGATGCTTGAAAATTTGGCACAAAGGGTGTCTACCTTCACGTTAGTATGACCCCTGTAGGTCACACAGCAAGCATCAGTGGAAAGCCCCTCTAAACTAGTTTTCTTCAGGTCCCAAAGCTTCAGTGTGTTATCAGTGGATGCAGAAACGAGCGAATCTGAACCCAAAAATTTCACATAGCTTACCGCCTTCTGATGGCCGGCTAATGTGCACCAGGGAATTCTTGTATGTCTAAGATCATAACAATGAATCTTGTAATCAGCAGATCCAAAGGCCAATAGATGTGAGGAACGTGAAGAGAACTGAACACAACAGACATTGGCAGCACTTCTGATCGTGCAGGTTGAAGTTTTCTGTACAAACAGTGACATTCAAAGTTCTGTAAGTTGGCTTTCTAATGATTTATGGCATATGGATTTCAGACTTAAAGTCGTATTCAGGTATATATTATATTTTTCACCCTTTTATGCTTCAAAGAAAATCAAGAAACATGGTTAACTGAGAAAGTAGTTGACTAGCAGGCAATAGTGGCCCTTCAGTGTTATTCTTAGTAATATTTCTAAACAAGGTTAATTTCGGAAGTGGCTGTTGGGTAGGCAACAGTAGCCTTTTGCAGAAATCACAGCAGATAACATGGCTGTTTTTTCTATGTGAACCGTCAAAAAAATTTGATACTATAAGAGACATGGAATAGATATCATTCATTAAATGACATTAACTGGGAATTTTATGCACATATATACCATAAGGTTGCAATTAAGACATGGATGCATGTCATGTGTTATGGTAGTCTACACCCTATTCATGTTCTACTACCATCATTTCTCCATCTTAGTAAATGCTTGTAATCATTGATTGCATTCTTAAGATATGTGCTACTTTGTGTTATGTGTATAGGGTTAGGTTCAGGGGAAAACCACAAAAAAATGAGGAGCACCCTGATAACCGTCCATCTGGATGCTATGTACATGTGCATACAAGTAATTTGTAAGCAATTTTTCCGCTATGCACATGTGCATATTGTCCGGATGAATGCTTACCAGGGTGTTCCTCAGTTTTCATTTTTTGGGGGTTTCCCCGGAACCTCCCTCGGTGTGTATATTTGCCTTTGTATCTGTTCTATGAGTATCTATCAAAATGAAAGTGTTTTTCCCTTCAAAATTCGATTGTCCTTCAGCCATACAACCTCCCAGATTTTGCAAGTCCGTGCTGTATTGGTGCATTTTCTTGATCATCGAAGTTATTTACTCAAATAGTCTGACAGAGAATTACCTCATTTAAGCTCCATAACTTCACTGAACAATCATCACTTCCACTTGCAAATTGTGTGGGATCCACATGAGAGAACTCAACACACCAAGCCCTCCTTTGGTGTTCTCTATAATGAGATAATCCTTGACCAGTGAATGCGTCCCAAACCTGAGGTCCAACTATGTTGTTTAGTGAGATCATGTTGTGAAAACGAAGAAACATAAAAGTTAGACGTTAGAAACTAAGGGGCTTTTTGGCAGTTCTTGAATGGTCTAATGCAGAATGACTAAAGTGGTCAGAATGATTAAGAGGCTCTGTATGATATAGTGCAAAATGAAATATGGTTGTTTGGTAACTATTCTGAATGGACAGTCTGAATGACAACGAATCAACTTTGCAAGAGTGACAAGCACATGGAATTATGAGAGAGAAGGAAATGCTCAAACCCGCTAGGAAAATATTATATATTTCACAACTTAACTTCCATAAAGCAAGAAACACATACCTGAACCACACCTTCATAATCAGCTGATGCCAAACAATTCTTGAGGTACTTGTTCCAACAAACACAACTAAGCTTAGATTGGTTCAGCAACTCAACCGCAGGATAATTGACATCGATAGAATCATGTAAAAGTGAATCGAAGTCAAAAATCTTGATTTTCTTTGACACACCCGCAGCAGCAATGTAGTTCTCATCACGATCAAAGCTCAAAGAGCAAATTACATTCGCAGAATTCAGAAGATTACCCATTTTTAGCGTACCACATGCCTCAAACTTGCTATATCTTATGAATTTGCATATACTATTCAAAAAATCATCGGTGAAACCAACATACTTCTCTTTCATGGTAGGTTCTTTGACTCCAACTGGATCCAAAGAGCACCTTTCACGATTCCCTAACAAGTCCAGGTCATTTCTTCCATTAGAGACAGTATCAGGAAGTTGGAGTTGGGACTTCTTACTAAAATAAGCACTTTCAAGCTGACTGATATATGTCTTCATCCTTTCCTCCAAAATGTCTGAATCATAGAACATTCTCAATACATTTTCGTGCTGAAAATTCTTTATATCAGTTTCTAAGAACTGTATATTTCCACATAACTCCAAAGCATGCTTTTCCTTTTGTTCTTTCAGTGAAATTAGAAAATCAAGTAAAATCTCAAACTCGACATCTTCATTCTTGTCAACGATTGAAGAAAGATTGCTCTTGAAGTACACCTCTTTGGTTCCGCTTAATAATTCAGATTGCAGGATATCCCTGATACAAATAAAATTTCTTATATTACCAAGTACATCAAAACATGGACCAAACAAAAAGTCCTGTTATATTCAAATGATATCACCTGCTTTAAACTGATCTAGCTATTAATTAACAAAACTCATACCACAAAATATGCTCGATGGTAGTATATTTTCTAATGTGAAATGTGCATGCAAACTTAAGTCTGAAAAATTGAAGCATATTTGTCCCCCACCAGATCCACCTTAAGCTTTAGATGAGTCGATCACTTTGACATAATATCAAGGCTAAGCTGGCAAGGTTGAAGCTGCTTGCATATGCTTCCCTTATACTCCTTCCGTGCCAAAATAAATGTCCACAATGAAAATGACACATAGTTTTAGAAATATGTAATTATTACACTTTTTAAATAACTAAATGACACATTTTACCCTTGATAATAGAGAGAGAAACTTTCTCAATCTCATAATTAAGGGTAGAAAAAAGTGGAAACTTACTTTTGAAAGTGGACAATTATTTTGGACAAACTAAAATAGAAATGTGGACACTTAATTTGGGACAGAGGGAGTATTTTATACATGAAATTTGCAGTATGTTTGGCTTACATACAATTACGAAACCATTTCTAGCAGGAAGAGAAAGTGGTCATATGTCTACAAGTTTAAGCATTTGAATAAGCGATGACTTAATAGAGAGAGAGTATTTACAGTTTAAGTAGTAAATTGAGATATTAATTCATCTATTATACTCCCTATATCTCAAATAACTGTCCTCCTCGGGGTTTGAATGCCAAACGTAGAATTTCCTGTACTTAAAACAAGTCTATGATAGTTTTATCACCAATTAGTACTATCAGCATATGTTTTGTAGTACTATTACATACAAGTAGTTACCAAGTTTGACGAAGTGATCTTGGCTGTCTGGTCGAACCAATTTAACCTGAGGTGAGACTTGACTTGGTATGTTTAAGTCAAATCTTGACAGGAAGTCCCTAACATAAGGCCGGTTGCTACCAAAGTTTATCCTTGACCCGGGGAGAACTTAACTAGAGCTTTCATCTTAAAAAGGATAGAGGCCTCCATCTAGCACATCTGAAGGTTTTTTGCTCTCTTTACTATGTTGAATAACTTTGTGAATGGGAAAATATTAACAAACAGCATGGACAGGAAACAATCTAGTAGTTGAGATTCACCACACTAGAACAAAAGCATTAATAAGTAGCATGGACATGAAATAATAACTAGAAACACTAAAACACTGAGGGACTCCTTACTGTTCAAGGGTCTGATGGCATTGCAGACCATGGTGTCTTAGAGCATGAGACTCGTAACTTATTTGGTTAGCTATACGTGATTGTTTGGTAGTGGTTTAATGATATAGAAAGTGACTTATTCAGTAAGCTTTTAGGTGTAGCTTTATGCAGAAAGCCAAGTTTTTTCCCAAACCTGTCTCTTCCAATTAAAAAACATGCTCCTTCCATTTATGAAGACCCTCCCAAACAAAAATCTTCCCAATCTATACAGACAGATTAATCCACATAGACAGTTTTATCCATACACGCTTAGTGGAAAACCAACCAAACAGCCCCTTAATGTCCTTGGAAATCATGCTGCTAAAGTACCCTTCTTAGGCTAAAGAAGATTACTAAATAAAAGTTTCTATACTATGCAGTTGACCAATAAAATGTTTAAGCAGAAATACCTTGTTGTTGGCCGAGATGAAGGCTGAGGATGAAGCAGCCATAAACAGAACCCAGCTTCCTGTGGATTTTCAGAAATAAAACTTGGTGGAAGGATCCGGTTACGTAAATCTGATATCGCTGCAGAATGCATCTCTAGTGATACAAATGAGCAGAGTAACTGGTGGGGAAAAGATCAAGTCAGTCTAAGATCATAAATAAACAGCATTGTTTCCTTGAATCAAAGCTATATCACTAAATAAAGGTATCACAACTGTATTTGGGGGCAAGTCGGTGGTTCATACACTCAAAGGTCTTCCTGGCAAGGGGAAAGAAACAAAAATCACCCTTCTGTTGGGTATTAGACTAGTGCTAGTCCCACATAGGAAAACCTTTAGAATTTTTGTGGGTTTATAAGCCTAAAACCACACTAGTTATTAAAATGGAGAAAAGCCCAAGGAAACGGTTTGCATTGGTATTCAGTGAGGGTGTGATAAATATTTAATGATATAATTGGAACAGAGTCTAATGCGAGTTACCACACGGCTTAACTCGCACCAAAACCCGCCCTTGGTCTCCGTTTGTTGTCGATGAAAACAGACATAATGCGAGTTACCACGCGGGTAAACCTGCGCCCAAACTCCCAATGCTTTCTGGCGGTTTCTGACTGTTGAATTCAGTTGGCAGTGCAAAGCTGTAAATACCTTACCATTCCCTCCATTTTAACACATGAAAATTCCCTCCATTTTCTCTCCAATTCTCCATTGCTTTCTAATGAGCATATTATCAATTTGATGGGATTAAATTGACGTGCCACAAGCCAATCGGATAGTTGTATCCTCTAGATGACGTCCAGAACCAAGCATGATTGAGGACGAAATTTCAACTTAGGACACTGCAAAAGCAGGCCTCTATTTATTTTATCTACTTCAATTCGTGATATTCTTCATCAAGAAGGTACACGATTCTTGTTTGAATCGATTTTGTTACGCAAGTTTCATAGATTATTTGTTTGTTTTACATTATTGTATCGCTTTGTCATAGAACCTTCAAGAACTAACAGTCCCAAAAGAAACATGGTTCAACAAGTAATGTGCCATAAGAAATGAGTCCACTCAAAATTGTGCATGTTCAAACTTATACAGAAAATGGCTTTCATCATTCAGCTCATGGGAGGTGGAAAATCCTACATCACTAGAACCTCAGTTGGCAAGCAACATACCCCTCTGTCCTGTCACAATGGCTTGACTGGGGCAATGCTATCAAGATACAAATGCAACCGCTGCTGGGAGTATGCCACTGTGGGCCACAAGGAAAGGTAAACTTAGGGCCATTTGTTGGCAGCTTAATGAGATTAATGGGACTCACAGCTTATTCAATGATCTATACATGATTGTTTGGTAGTGGCTTAATTATATAGAAAGTGGCTTGTTCAGTAAGCTTCTAAGGAGGAGTTTTATGCAGAAAGTCAAGTTTTTCCTAAACCTGCCACTCCCAATCAAAAAATGTGTTCCTTCCATCTAAGAAAATCCCTCCCAAACAAAAACCTTCATAATGCATACAGATAAACTAATCCACACAGACAACCTTATCCATACAGGACTTAATGGAAAACCAACTAAACAGCCCCTTAGCTATTGATGTGTGACTGTGTGTATGTTGAGATAGATGCAACAATCATTATTGGGAACATGTCACTGAAACTCCAAGATCAAGAAGAGATAGCTTACACATGAAAAACATTTGTAGCATGGAAACTATAACTGAAAGTAGCTTTAAGCAGATTTTAAAAGCTTTAATGCATGTACTAACTATTGCTTTGTTGCAACTAGAAGCATTGATATCGATATGGAGTAAAATTTCAAGAACCACAAATAAAAATAGATGGACAAGAATATATGACAACGAAAGAGAACAGTCTTCTCAGTTCTTACCTCAAACAAGAGAATGCCGAGGCTATAGACATTTGCTGATAATAGATCCCTCCCATAGAGCTCCTCTGGACAAGCATACCAATTCTTTTCCAGTTCAACATCTACAGAATACGACTCTGGCCCTGGCTTATGTTTTCTATTATTTTGAGCACCATGTCCATGATTAAAATGCAGACCATGCAGACCTTGACTTCTGGAATTAAGCTTATCCAAAAATTTGCTGTTAGTGGCTTGATGTGTACTTGAATGTAATTTTTCTCCTATTTGGTTCATGATGTCTTCAGCCTTTTGCTGCTTCACATCTAATTGACAGTTGATACTACTTCCCTGTTCAAACCCCCACTTCCGACCATTATTTTGGTCTGTAATAGTCATTACTTTGTCTTCAGTTGAAGAATCAAAGTAAATGATCTCATTTGATGGCAACAAAATAAAACTTGAAAGCCATAAACCTTGCAAGGCGTTTCCTTGAGAGTGTGCCATATCGACAGTCTGAACAACCTGCCTATATATCTGCAGCCTCTCAGCTTTATTCACCTCAATAGAACTGTTCTTTAGCCACTTCCTCAAGCTCATCCCTTGGATATATGGTTCTGGAATTCCTTTGTTGGAAGTTTCTTGAGGAAAATCAACATTTTGTCCACTTAAATCTAACGATATATCAGTAGTCATTCTGCTGATGAGATCCTTTTTGTCAGTATCCTGAGTCATTTCTGCAGCATTGAACTCATTAGTAATGCCTGCACTTTCACACAGAATCCCCATGCCCCTTGTAGATTGCCTAACAACAAAATCAGAGAAGTTCACTGAGCTTGATACCTTCAACCTCTTATCCCTAAGTGGAAGGCTATCAGATGGTTGTTCTTTTGGATCTTGATTAGCCCACCAAGCTTTACCATTTGCAGGATCTAAAGACAAACTTGACAAGTCTTTTTGAGAAACCATCAATGTCGGTTCCCCTTCCTGGGAACCGAAATGTCCACATGGATTACTTCTGCTAGCCCTTACCAAATTAGGAAAGTTATACCTTGAGCCTTGCCTAATATACTCCCTTGTGCCCGAGCTGCTTGCAATATTTGGGTTCAGAAGGCTATAATTTCTCGCATTTGTCTCATTACCCAAGAATCCAGTATCACTTATGCGAATGGGTCTTGTATCAGCTTGCCTTGAACTTTCACCATGCCTATTCATACTGGCCATTGTGCTAAACCTCTGTGATTCCAAGTTACAAGTTTCAACATCTATATGATTACCAAGTATTTCCAACTTGTCCATTTCCATTTTCCCATCATCTTCTTCCATCACAAAGCAGAAGGAAAGAGACTCACTCAACCAGGTAGAAAGTAGCTTTCATGACAGACCTACCCAAATCAGGATTACAATAATTACTTAATCATCATACATGAATAGATAAGAAAGTAGAGGGAGGTTCAGGGACAAACCTCCAAAAAAATGAAAAACTGAGGAACACCCTGTTAACCATTCATCTGGACGGTATGCACATGTGCATACAAGTAATTGAAGTTGTTTCTTGGTTTTTATGCACGTGTGCATGCTATGCACATGTGCTACAGGAAAAAATGCTTACAAATTACTTGTACGCACATGTGCATACCGTCCTGATGAAAGGTTATCAAGGTGTTCCTCAGTTTTTCTTCCTTTTTTGCGGTTTTTCCCTGAACCTGACCCTAAGAAAGTAAACCTTAAATATACACACTCATTTCATGAATTAGAGTGTATACAAAAATTCCGACTTTTACAAATCAATGACCAATATTCTACAACTGAAATTGATCTATATTCACTTAACCATCAGAAACAATGAGTTTCATAAGTAGTTTTCCTTGTCAAGTAGCATGTTATACAGATGCAGGTACTGATATTGCTGCAACAACCACTACCGCGCCTCCGCCAGTTCGTAACGATCTTCCAAACCAAATAAAACATAGCTTTTCCTTCGTATGCACAAAGTTTTTCTGAACTAACATCAATTATACCAAATTCTTCATCCAAATTTGGTACTATTATATATGTATGTATTTATGTATATGAAAATTGTGTAAAAATGTTTATAAAATAAATTATTTAACTATTACTTGATTTGTGTCATTTACAAGTATTACATGATTATATAAAATCATCAAACAATTTTTAGAGGTAACTTTCCTGTCCTATCAAACCTTAGTCATACCAAACACCAGACGGACAATTTTTGTCTTGTCCACTCCGGTCCACGTATCAAATGCTGCCTTAGGGCCTTAATTCTATCTATGAGATGTAACACTTAGTATCAAATTTGAATTTTACATTTCACAATTGACTTTCTAAATCAAACTAGATATGTAATTCTTAACCAAAGAAGTATTAAACAAAAAGGCCAGCATGAAAACAAATCTTTAATCGACACCGATCTTTACTTCACCAAACTGGCTTGCAATCCTTTACAAATAGTTTAATCAACAAAGCTGGAAATCCCAAGACTATCAAATAATTATACTGATTTTTACACAAAACTTATCAAAAATTAAGCAAAAGCCTTGCAAATTGCTAATTTTATCTTGATCTACACCTACATTTCCCTTCCAAATACTACAATGTTGCTTACAAAATCTACAAGTAGCAGCTTATATTAAACAAGAAAAATCCTACAAAAACATTAAACTTCTCCATTTTGAATTTTGAACAACACACCCGCTTTTCAGAATTCCAAGACCTTTACATACCAAAATATTCTGTAAAATTGCAGCTTATAAAGAAATAAAATACGATCATATCATGCCCATAAAATAATCGAAAAACCGAACTCCAAAACAAAATTAATACAAATAAAAGGTAATCTAATTGTGATCAGAACATAAAATCAAAGATAAAAAACAGCATATATCAAACGTTTAACAGATCGCCACACACTGGATAAGCTTTCATACCTTTTGATCAACTTCAAATTATTTGCTTCTGATCGGAATCAAATCATTGCTGAATCCATATATTGAAGACACAGTGATCCATGGAGCTTTTTTGGTTTCAATTTGGACAAAAATATCAAGCATTTATACGATCTGAGGATAACATCCATCTATGATTAATCGAATCCCTATCGCATCCCATTAATTTTTTTATTATTTGGCACGTAATCTAATAAAAATATTTAAGTATTACTTTAAAATTTTATATTCTAAATTTTATTTTTGAAATAAACCGATACTCTGCTTCATCAATTTTATCATTAATTATATTATATTAATATATTTAATAAAATATTATTTTTTTCTTTTAAACACTTAATTTTTATGTTCTCGTTCGTGAGAAATAACTAAATATTATTTTCTTTCTCTTGAAGATTTCTATTTTCTATCTTATCTTTTTTATTTTATCTATTTTAACATACGGTGTAACATGGTTGTTGGAGCAAAAATATACCTTTAAGGGTTTCTTTGTTTCTTGGTATTTAACTCTTAATACCTCTGAAATCTGATTCAGTTAAACTTTTTCGGTATTAAGAGCGTTTGTTTGTTTTTAAATAAGAGCTTAAAGCCTCTGAGTTTCATCTAAAATTTTAAGTGGTATATTGATTCTTAATACCTCTTTAAATTCTCTCTCATCTTTTAATATCCATATCTCCTCTCCAGGTATCGCTCTCTCAACTATCAAGATCTCGATCATTCACCTCTGAGATTTTCTACTGCTTTTTTTCTTTCGATCTCTCATCTCTCAATATCTCATAACTCTCCATCTCACACCTCTGAAGATCTTCAAATTTCCTTTTTTTACTGCTTTTTATTTTGTTTCTCAATGTTTTATGTTCTTGATGGGTTATCGATCTCCTTTTTTCTACTGCTTCTACGTTTTATCAATCTCCTTTTTCCAAGGCATATATTCTTTTCTACTGCTTTTCATGAAAAAATAGTTGATATGTTCATATTTTACTTGAGATTTGGTTACTGGGTTTGGGTTTGATTTTGAATCAATCGAATCTTGCCTCTGTTTGCCATGGAAAACCCAAAATTTTATGTTCATAGAGGGATTTTGTAAATCAAATCAGGGTCATTAGTAGATTGTAAGCTTGCTATTTGGTTGAACTCGCAAAATAGAAATCGTTACAAGTAAGCAGTTGGAGTATTATTACAATTTGAGGCACTACGATAAGAAAACAATGTGCCAAATAAACCAAAATTAGGCACATACATAAGAAAGAAGACAAGAGATTACTATTGATGAATGGAAGAAATTTATCCCACTGCTTCATGAGCAAATATTACGGGGGAAAAAGCTTCAGGAAAATAACAACAATGGTTGATTAACATCGACAAAAGACTTGATGGATTTAAATGTAATATGGTGTGAATTAGAAATCAGTGATGATGTACCTCCAATTTCCAAAAGGTAAACAAAGAGAAGTACATATGATTTTGATTCCAACTTCGCGAGGATTTCCTAGCAATCGCAGTTGCCAATGACAACATTAGTTCATCAAAGAGTTGGACAAAATGTGACATGATCAAGACTAATTGAAATTCCAATTTTTAAACTGATACAATTCTAAACCATGAATTAGAGTTCTCAAGCAGCATTTGATTTACAAAATCCCTCTATTTACTTGAGATTTGGTTACTGGGTTCCTTCTTGTTTTACATCGATTTGATAATTTGAACTGGGTTTTTGTTAATTTTGATTCTTGTTCATCTTTGATGTGTTTAGCTTTTGTTCTTGTGGTTAAAGTGATATAAAACGGGTCATAAGCAAGAAATAACACAAGAACCTTAAATATAATTCAGTATCACCGTTAACTATGGCAGATTCTATATGTCGGTATCCCAAACCTCAAATAGATAAGCAATTTTGGACAAAGGATATCAACTGTTAGTCTTTTTTGCATTTATACAAATGAACTTCTTGTTTGGCACTTTTTAAAGAATGACATATTAGTTTGTGATAAACAATTATGTATATTTTGTGTTTAATCATTGAATGAGCTCTTTTCACAATATATTTTTTGATTAACCTGGATATCCAACCCGCTATGAGAACTGATTAATCCCAGGGCGACCACCTGCTTTGTAGATAGTCCGGAGTCACCGCATTTGAACCTCCGTGGCCACAAGGGGATTTTTATTCCTCCTTGGATTTGAACATGAGACCTCCTGGTACTTTTGACCTTTGGAGCCAAGCTCAAACCAATCAGAGACCACCCTTGTGGTTATTTTGGTTTTGGTCAACTTTGCAATATGTGATTCTTATTTGCAATTAGTTGAAGGTTATGATTCATCATATGCAATATATAAATTATTTCTTGTGTGCTAATTAGTGATGGACGACGTGTAGGAGGTTATGATGAATATTTAAGGTAAATAATAATTCGATAATAGTTGCATCACTTTCTTTACTAAATTTATTTTGACTACTAACTTCAATGCAGGGATCAATTGACGTTCTTAATGGAACTTTAATACATGTTATCGTCTCTGTTTAAGAACAACATTTATATAGAGGACAAAGAAATGGTGAATGTTATCAAAATGTTTTGTCAATTTGTGACTTCAACATGATTTTTACATTTGTTGTTGTGAGGTGGGAAGAAATTGCACATGATTTTAGAGTTATGTCTGAAGCTTTAACATATGGTGGTATTGGATTTTCATTTCCTTCTTCAAGTATATTAATGATCTTAGAGGTAATATATTTACTGTGCTCACATTAATAATTCAGATAAATATTATCTATGTGATGATACGTATATAAATACTCGAGGATTTATGGCGCCATATCGTAATGTTAGATATTGGCTCAGAGATTTTCGTCGTTAACGAGCAATGAATAAGTATGAAAAGTTTATTCATTCCCTTGCAAAGTTTAAAAATGTTATTGAACGTTCTTATGGTGTCCTCAAAACACGTTTTTCGATATTGAAAAAAATGATACCATTTACACTTGAGGTTCAAGAAGACGTTATCGCATGCCTTGTGGTTCACAACTTCATACGAAAGGAAAATTTAAGCAATGAGTTATTTTTTGATGTGGTCAAACCAACGAGCAAGAGGACGATGACGAGGATGAGGCTGAAGAAGTTCAATAGCATGGGAGTGTCACTGACCAAACATATATGGCTAGTTTAAGTGGAAAAAATTCTGACACAATTAATGCAAAATGAATATAGATTCTAGTTGTTATGAGACTTTTTGTTTATGTTTTCTATTGTGTTGAATCAATTGACGTATCTCAACTGAATTTTTGGATGTGTTAGAAGTAGATGATAGTTTACAAATAGTTTAAATAGTTGGATAGTATAATTGATTCAGACTTCAGAAACAATATGAATGATTCAGATTTCAGACATAAAAACAAACAGTCTAACTGATTTATATTTCAGCATTCAACATCATTCCTTATAAATCAGAAATTAAGTCAAACTTCAATACCTTCTAAAAACAAATGTCACTTAAATATCTAAATCTCTATTTTAACATAACTATTGAAGATGCTTATAATACTCGATTTTATAGTTACTGGAAATGCTTAAGTTAAAAAAAATGTATTTATTTAATGAAAATATAATTTTAAATACAAAATTGTATTTACCAATAAATGGTGATAAGTAATATTAAATATAAATATAAATATAAATATAAAGAAATCATTTTAAAAATGGTAGAAAGATAAGGTTTATTAATGGGAGAAATCATATTATTTTATTGATTAAGTGTCTTGTTATTTGGGCCACATGACATGATGACCAGCACAGCACAGCAGGCAGCAGTGGCTCGCCACTCCTTGGGCCACATGATGACCATTGGCCTTGACTGCTTGAGCAACATGCTCACCTATGGTCCTGGGTCTAAGCTTCACCCACCTAACCTTAAATATATTACACTATTTTCATAAAATTAAAATAAAATAATTTTAATGTTGATTTCTAATATAAATATAATTTTTTAATATAAAAATATGTTATATTTTAGGGAAAAGTTCAAAAAAACCCAATGGACTTTACTGTTTGGAACGATTAAACCCTTGGACAATTTTTTGGAACAAATAAA